TGTAAGATGTGGTTGTTAAGTCTAGTTAGATGACTTGCAATGAATTAAATTGATTTTTTTTTTCTTCCCCAATTTTGAGTCTGTTTTGCCCATGACCATAACTGTTGAGTGAGCTGTCCCTGTCCTCATCCTAATCCTGAGCCCCCTTTGTTGTGTCTCCCATCACATCTCATTGGGTTGGGGGAGTGAATGAAGGACAGCATGGTCCCACTGTGGGTCAAACCATCACAAATACTAAAAATACTACTAAAGTTCTTTAAAAACATTAACCATTTGTTCTTCATTTTTCTTCCCTTTCATTTTTCCTGATTCCTCCTTTCTTTTTCTGTGCACTATTTCTTCAGTGTTTTTCAATAGCCTTCCCTCTTCTCTCTTCCACTAGCTAATGCACATTTTTGTCTCTGTAGTTGTAATATGCTGTTACAAAAAATTGACAATCACTTTGCTCTTAAAATACTAAAAAGTTTGGATATAGACTTCACTTCACCTTTAGCTTACAGTATTTTGGATGGTGGAGGGAGAATCTACCTTTGGTTTTTATAACAACATTCAATATGCCACCTAAACTATTAAAATCAAATCCAAGCACACACTTTTTTTTTTTTTCCCATTCTAGCTTGAAGCAGGTCTGAAAACTATGTATTTTCTAAAAACCCATGTCAGTATCACTGAGAAGATAGTTCTGCTTTTCATTCCTAGACGGATTATTTTGCTGATACGTTTTTGTTTACTATAAGACTAAATGTTAAAATTTAACATCACTATCATTATAAAAGGCTTCAACTGGCAGTCTGCCTACATCAATAAAATTTTATGGCCTCTAAGGAAAAGGAAAATCATGTGGACAGTTCACTTCAAGCTTGCAACCTAACAGCTTCGGAGATATGCTGCCTGTAACTCTGAGATTAGAAAAAGAAGCCAAAGCTTCTACATTAGATTGTGAAATCTGATCTCTAAATTATTACTCTCTTCCTCTTTCCCCAGACGTCTTTTCCCTCAAATCAATGAAAAATATTCTTAGATACTCTGAGGATCATAATATTTAAGACCATTTACATGAAGCTAAATAAAATTGAATATATTTTTTTTCCTTTACTTAAATTGGTATGTTACCAGTTGGCTGGTGACAAACTTTGGCTCCATCACCTCCACACAAAACTAATCTTTTACCTTCTGTTCCAATGCAAGCCGGTACTTTTGTTCTACCCTTTTGCACTTGTTGTACCAACTGTTTTCATCTGTGATGAAAGGAGGGTCAATCTTCTCTGGAGTGCTGCCTTCGCTGCCACTACTGCCCAGTGTTCTTAGCTCTTCTTCATCACTGCTGATGCTGTCAGAACTGAAGGATCATATTTATTAGCCAAGTGAAAAAGCTGTGTTTGTTAAAATGCAAATTTCCCTTAAAATTAAAGCACCACAGTTCTTAAAGATATCTAAAGCTCTGCAAATCAAAAAGAACTGAAATTTTGGGATAGGATATATCACCAAATACAACTCATATTTAAAGCTTTTATTGGTACAGCGACCTAAAGAATGGGCAAAGACTTGCTTGTCATCTTAGTCAAGTTGACTTAGCCAAGTCAAACAACTGCATGTGGGATACTCTCCTGAAATACAGAGGACTAATGCATTACAACATGCAAAGGAAGTGCTGACTTAATCTTTCTTTCACAAATTCAAGGCAAAGTATTATCTGAAAAGAAATAGTATTTGTGTCTAAAAATGCAGAAAAATAAAAAAGTGATTGTAATTATGATAAATAATGATAAATTTAAATGACAATAGTTATGGTTATAGTGAAGACCATGTGCCTGTTATTTCACAGAATATAAGTATCTCCCTACATAGCATGCAGATTCATTGTTAAAATATCTCTGTATCATCCAGAATCAATGTACGCCAGAGAATTCAGACATGTGTATCAAAGACAAGAATTTTAATTTATCCCAATCTTCCCTGACAACTGTGCTTCCCACTACATTAACAGCATTTACTGAAGTAGCGATTCCTGTGACCCCATGATCCTGCCATGATGCAAATTCTGCTTTAACTGAACTATGAAATTTGTCATTAACATGTAAACTGATAAGAACTTCAAGAGAATAACTAGGATGTTTCATGTTCAGTTGTACATCTTCAAGACTACTCCTAACTTCCAGCTGCTTTCTTCATTTTGGCAAACCTAACAATAGAACACATCCCATTAATTTCCATGCTTTTTGGAGATAACAAGTTGCCATCTGATCTGTTAGATAGTGATCATTCTTTTCATTATTAATCATATGGCTGATCAGAGGAGCAAAATGTAGCTAGAATGTCAGATTATATATGCAACTGGTCATGATTTTCTATTATGGGCTAACTGCTCATACTGCATACTGCTTATCTGTCATATCTTACCAGTTGAGCATATATAATTTTCATTTACAAAATAACTATTTTAAAATTTACAGCTACACAGAAAAGGCCCAAGAGAAAGGACAGATTGGTCTGGTGATCTTCAAAGAAGATTTAAAAAAATATTTCCTGATGAACTGTGATTCTAATCCAAGTAAACAAAGTTAGCATGACTCACTCTGATGAGTCATGTAATAATTCCAGCAGTCTGAAAGAGCAAGGTAGCTGACTGTACAGGTTTGTATTTAGATATGGATATTATTTTGAATGTGAAATGAAAGAGGTCCAGTATGAAGTAAAATTTTGCCAATGAAATAAAATTTAAAAAGCAGTGTGAAGATAAAAAGTACCTTTGGGTGAACTTCAAGTATGGTGTATAATCTATGACAGCTGGAAAGCTGCCATCCAATCCCTCACCCTTCAGACAAAAACTGATAAAACAGAGAAACAATGCTAAAATTATAACAAGAAAATTCAATTACAGTGACAGTTGAATCTTACCAATGTGAAATTTAATTTTTCTTAATTTTTTGGTAATAAGAAAAGCCTAGAGTACTTAACGCTGAAAACCTACTCAGCTGAGCCAGACTGTTTAATATTAAATGACAGTCACTGAGCATATTATAGGATAATGAAAACCCCAACAAATAGAATTTCCACATAGTCAGGGAACAGATCAGGGTAAGCGATATAAACCCTAATTTTTAAATATTTGCTTTTATTCTGAAAATACAGATGGATTGCAAGGGAATAACAGGAAAAAGAAAGTTAGCTAAAGCAAGAGAAACAGAAGAGCTATGGATGAGCTTGGAATCTTCAGTACTTAAGCTCATTTAAAGTGTTTGCAGAGTGCTTATGTAACCATCCTACTAACTTTAAGTTAAAAATCAGTTCTCAAAAATATTTCAGTCTTTCTCCTTTCAGATACTTTCTGGTGTTGGGCTACAGGAAGAAAAGGAATACTAATGAAACTAACTTTCAGAAAATGTTCTTAAATGGCTGTAGTTCTATAAAGCTCTCATTTACAATGTATTCTTTTTGTACTGGATATAAAAGATTGTACTTGATTCATGTTTAATTATCACAGAAGTGACAAAATTAATTATTCTTCCACAAGGCTCATATTCTTCACTTCTACCTCTGTCATGAAAAAAACAGATTATAGTAAGACACAGCTTTTGCTAACTTAATTGCGAAGTGCCATTTTTGACAACGCAGTCACTTAAGTTGTATTTGACAAGTACATCTGAAGGATTTTTTTCCCTTAAGAAAAGAAAATAACAAAAAACACCCCTGAAAAACCACAATTATTTTAATTAGATACGTAATTCCACATTGCTGTGAGGGCGAGAAAATATTTAGATTCTGCTCTCACCTGGATTCCCCCATCTCCACCCAAAATCTTATTTACAGTTCCACACAGATAAGCCAGTCAACATTTATAAGAGACTGAACCGAAAAAAAATCTCAAATATAAAATGCAAAGAATGGCTACAGCTTCTCAGCCTTTCAAACCACAATACTATGAATTACATGTGGCACAATAAAAATGTTCCTGTAGCATTGTGTTCCTATTTTGCTCAGAAAATTTCTAGGCTCTTAAAAGCTGCATTGACAAAAACTTAAATGCCACCTTCTACATATGCAATTACAATGCTGCCATTGAGTACTGGGGCATAACCATGTACTTAATCACACAGTTTTCCATATAGTTTAAAAATAACTTTAAAAGATTCCATTATCTGTAAGCTTCATTTAATAGGTTTGATATGTTCTGCAATTATACTTCTGATTGCTCTCAGGATTTTGATACCTGAAAGAAAGACCATGTAATCATCTGTAGTGGTTTCACCCTATCCCAGCAAAACCAGGACATCATGCAGCTGTATGTACTATGGCATAACTTTGTTCTTATTTAGAAGAGTCATTCAAGATCTCCCTCTCACCCTCCCCTTCCTCCCCCCCACCAAAGTTTTGTCTCTCAAACTATCAAAGGACTCTAACAATGTTTTCCATAATGCATCGATTTATAAGTACTTTCCCTGAGCATTTTTTATGAAGCATGCAAATGTAATACCTGAAATCAATTGCATTGAGTCCCAACAGCATACCAGCAAGCATATTTGCTTCTTCACCAAGAACAATTGCTCCATCCTCATAAAATCTCCTTCAATAAAAAAGAAATCAGTTCAGTTAATACCATTTTCTCTCAAATAATAATAATAATAATGTTTTTCATAGTTAACAGATAACTGAAGAAATCCAGTTTAAATAAAAACAACTCGTGAACCCTAGGGGCATTCATATTTCATTTCAAATAAAGCAAACCAATAGACTGCACAGCACAAAACACCACAATCTTAGAGCACATAAAAATTTAGACAGCAGCAGAAATAATTTACAATATTAGCCCTAAGAAATAGAAGAACAGGATGGACAAAATGCAAAGAAAATGATGAAGATATCTTATACTTTGCTGCTGAATGGAAGAATTTGCATCATGTACATTCAAAAAATAATAATTCAATCGAATGATTGAATGAAAACAAAAGTTCTCTCACACAATTGCACTTGCAGGATCTTTTAAATTTCAACATTCACTCTTCATTCCTAGTAGCTGATTATTTAAAAAAAAAAAAAAATCACAAATAGGCTATATTCAAGGTAGCATACTTTCTTAAAATACTGCATGCTGTATCCAGTTATTCTGAGATTTTAAATTTTCATTCTATGAAGAAGGAGTGTTTTCTTAACACCATTTTTTATTGTAAAATACCTATTGGCCTAAGTTTTTAAACTCCACCGCTTGATCTCAAAATACACTTCACATACCCTGGTATAAGCAGACTTGTGAAGTGTGCTCGAGAATAGTGACCAATAAACCAACAATTTTAAAATCTGTATTCCCTCATCACCTTCCTGTTCGCACCCATTTATTCTAATTTTCTCCTCCCAGCTACTGCAGAAGCTACTTCCAGACAGAAATGTTCCATGCACAGGGCAGGGAAATAGAGCCCACCATTGCTATGTGTGGCCTTGTAAAAAAGGGCATTTGGTCTGTTTAGCAAAGTAGCACACTGATTTCCACGTTAGAGGAGTCTTGGTGGCAGCAGAGGCAGACACGTCACTAGAATTCACTTGTTACATGTGGAAAGAGGGAAACCAAAAGCTGTTCAGTACCAAAGGCAAGGTTGAAAGGTGACTTACCAGAAACCACGATGCACAATGCACCTATACATTCTAGCAATGTATGATTGCAAGAAGGTGCCAGGTTATTAAATGCAATCTATGTTTCAAACAAACACCAGCAACACTGCCCTACCAAAAGCTCCATCTGTTTTAAGAACTGCATGAAAGCACTGGGATTGGCTCAGTGAGCCCTCAAGTTGGCTGCGTGGCAAACACCCAGAAAAGACACATTTTAGGGCACAGCTCCAAAGATCGAACTGTGTTATAATGCACACTGTCAGAAGTCCCACTTTTGCAGTTTTATAACAGACATCCATTTGCTGTAAGGAAACGAGTTGTCCAAGACCTTGGATGTTCTCCGTGGGAGCAAGAAATCTGGAAGACTTCCTCTGAGAAGACAGAGATTATAGTCCTGGCACTGAGGCTATGATGTACAGGCTCAGCTCTCTACTATCTGACTTCAGGAAGGGAACTAGGAGTCTAAACTAGCCACTTGTTGAGACAGAATACTGAGTTAGATGGACTTTACAGTCTGATTCCGTACAGTTACTCTTATTTGTGAACTAACAGCAATGCTCCCAGTGTAAGTTGATTATAAGCAATTTCACTGGCATTTGTAAAATCACTGCTGGGTACCAAACTGTACTGTGTTCAGTTTATCTTGTAAAACGGTGCCTAGGAAGTAACTGTACAAAAAACATAGGGCACACTTGTAACGGTGAGATGCAGATGTTTCTTAAACCAGCTACAGTAATTCAGCCAAAACAACAAGGCCCCTGAAAAACTCACAAATCTTTTCAGCATTATGCAGTTGACATCTCACAATAGAACAGTCTACTTTAACTTAAAAGTCTGTGCTGACCAATTTGTTAGAAAAATAATCGTGTGCCCATGCTTAATCTAACCCCCTTCCAAGCGTAATATGCAGATCCAGCACTAATAATGTACTGCTTCATTAAAGGACTAGCCCTAAGATCAGGCACCTAAACACAACAATGAGGTTTAAAAAGAGCTAGCAGTATGATAGATAAATCTCATATTCTACATACACACATGTATAACATTATATTTCTAGTTTATATAAATAATACATACATATAGCCCAATACTTAATTTAAAATGCTAAATAAACGTACCAAAGCATCACCAAAAACGTCAGGCTGCTTATTAGGTATCCGAAATCCCACACAGGAAAAGAAAACATGTCTCTTTATTATTGTTAATGTATAGAAATCCACACTGCCAAGGTCTGAAACTGTAACTTTTATTTCCATTACATGTATTTAAAATACTACTTCAAAGCAAACTTTGCACTTACTATGTTTGGAATGCAAGAAAGGTTGTTTCCAAAAGCTATACCATTGAAAAAACATTTAATCATATGAAAAATTAAGATGTCCAAATAAATGAATTTCAAACTGCTAATAAAATAATCCCATTGTTCTCCACCAGCAAACAAACCACACTACCAAATGGGGATAATAAATGTACTACTTAACTACATAGTTTATGGCCCTCCTCTTCCTCCTTATCTCCCCATCAGAAACCCAAGTGACTTTTCATCTTGAGGCAACATGAGTAAATCTTTTCCAGAAATCTTTGTTTTATGAGCTTCATATCTACAGTAAATGCAAGCATATCTGGGTAAAATAAAGATGACAGGTCTGGAAACATCAATAAAATGGGATGTTTACCTAGTTGTGTTTCAAAGTCACCTAAATATTGGCAAAATATATGAAGATCTCTGGACAAATAGTATTACAAACAAAAATAGTATTCTAAATGAACAGAAGTCCTTACAAAGAAAGTTCTTACGGTTTAAATAGTCCATTCAGTATGTCTAAAACTTTTAGAGTTCAACATAAGGTACCACAACATGTTACAGACTCAACCATATTTATCATAACATATATTAATCATAAGTTTTCAAGATGCATTTATTACAGGATAAAGCATCATGTAATAATCACATCATGTAGAACCAGTCCAAAACTGACAGAGTATTTTCTATCACAAAGCATATTCTTGCCCGTAACAGCTTTTACCATTAGAATGTACAATAAAAATGTTACTCATTTTTTGTATTACATCAAGAATCCTACCTATGCCTGATAACTAATTCTGTTCTTCTGTATTTCTCAAAAGTTTCCCGGAATTCTCTTCCTCTTCAAGAAAAGTTTCTATAAAAATTATTTTTTACTGAGTGTCTAGGGCTTTCTGTCAACAATACCCAATTTTGAAAGGTACATTACATCTTCTATCCTCATCACACTACAATTTCAGAATTAGTTCCTTCTTTAGAGAGGTTTTCTTCTCTTTTGACCTTTCAAGAATTCCAGGTTTATTTTCACATTTTTAAAATCACAAAGGGATTCTCAGTTTTGCAGTTTTACCCATGCTAAAATCCAATCAGTCGATACCAGCTCCAGGTATCTTTTGCTAGGTTACAGCTCTTTTACTAGTGACATCCTCTCCTATACAAATTAAGTGGAACATTCACTTTCAAACCTAAGTCACTCACTTAAGCAACACTTGCGAAAATATTGCAAAGATAAAAGTCTTAGAGACCTGGTTGTTTTGAAGTCTCTCAGAGCTGTGGAAATATATTCAGACAAATGCTTTTCCATTAGTGCTACTCTGATCCAGGCTCGACCCTGCAAGAAGAAACAGATAGAAAATGTATTATTGCAAATAAAGGTTATTGTGAAATAAAGTTCTCCAAAATTTGAAGGGAAAAAGAAATATTTTGCTTTAATTTTATACTCCAGTCTTTTGAAAAATCTCATGTGGAGAACTGGTAGCAGATGAGGGCAGAAAGCTTTTCATTTTAAAGACAATGGTATTGGAATCTGTTCCAATCTGTTCCACTGGAAAGCAGCAGTAACCTACCCTCAAGGAGACGTAAGTAAGAACTAATTCTCTGCGTTCATTCAAATATTTGTGGGATCAATTAAAAAATGTTTATGACTCAGTGGCATATTTTTATTATGTAATTTGCATAAATTATTTTTTCCCCTCAGTAAGGACATCATTATAGAAAGTACACATAATATATAGGAATGAAATAAAATCTAAGAGGCCTAAAACTTGTAGTTCAAAAGCAAAACTTAATTCAAACAGTTCCATAAACAACAGCAACAGCTTAAAAAATAAACTTTAGGTAAGTATGTTGCACTAGGTTTGCAGGTCTTGTGCACATGATTGTGGTTTACAAGAAAGAGATATTTCAAAAGGCTGCCATAGTTATGACTGTCAGTTTGAGAACACCAGGAACATTTATTGCAACCCATATAAACTTGCAAACAGTTATAGTAAGATGCCTTTCGGTTTAATCTATTTGGTGCTTACTGACATCTATCTGAATATCACAACAGATTCTAGCAAACCACCTGTAGTAGATTATAATCTTAGTTTTAATTTATATAGATCTAGATCAAACTAAACTTAAAATAAGATAGGCAGTTGCTAAATAACAAGAAAAATGCTTTCATAAAAACCAACAACACAGCAAAATCTTTAACACAGAGTACACTAAAATTAAAAGGATGTTTAACTCGATAGGTGCCCTTATGTTGCAGTTATTTAGAACACGAGTGAAACAGTCAAACCGTGATGCTGCTGCTTAGCTAGCAACTAAAACCTACGCAGCTCCAGTGAGAGCAGGGCTAACTAGCGCTGGCAAACCCTTGCTAACAGCTTCCAGGCTGAGGAAGACACTTATTTGGACCACCAGTAAAACTGATGCACACACCATCAGTATTTGTGTCAATGCACCTCCAACCTTTTCAGATATGGACATCCAAAGAGTGGGTTCCTTAAAAGTAGATACTTACTAGGTACATATAAAAAAATCATTATTTCAAACAATAAAAATTTTGTGGGGCAAGCTTAGTAATATGTTTTTCTTCTGGGTACAGAAATATCAGCTATATTTTACACAGAACAATGTAATAAAAAAGTCAATTCGACCTTTCTCTTCCCTACCTTAGCTCTAGAAGAACTGACATTCTCCATGTTCTCAATACTGCAGATGCAATTGTGAGAGACTTTTCGGCAAGCTACTCGAATGTAGTCCCAGAAACTACGTGGACTTTCATAGCCGAACCAGGTGATCTGACCTTAAATCAAAGCACAAGATATGTAAAGGTTTATGAACCTCCCTCTCTGCTTATTGGAGCTAAACATAATTAAAATACTTCCCTATAGGTTGCCTGCACTGACAGTATCTTATACTAGCAAGTCTATAAACTCCTACTGAAAACTAGCTCATAGGTGTAAAAGAACTTGCATTATGCAGTTCATTCTGGTTTGAACCTGATGTGCAAAGAGAATTTTGGGGCTTTTGTGTACATATGTGTGGTTTGTTGTTTTTTTCCATATTACTATGCTATAATAATACTCAAGAGCTCTTCACAGTACTCTTAAATCACAATGAGCACACACTGTTGTGACTTAAAAATATGATGCAAGAAGATTTTTTGTAATTTGTTTTAGGCAGTACTTACTTTCACTAATTCAATCAAGTAAAGCCAGTTTTGTTCTTTAAAAAAATGATTTTTATATATATATATAAATTTTATTTTTTTAAAGAACATATATGTGTGTGTGTGTGTATATATATATATACAAACACATAAAATACATATAAAAGACTGCTGTTCGCTGTCGTAGTGCTGGCTTTACTTTAGGAGTAGACTGGAATTTTTCAAAATGTGCTTTCATTGAAGGAGAAACTGATAAATGATCAAAAAGGTTTTTGTGGTGGTTTGGGTGGATTCACCCTTTTGGCTTGCAGCTTGCAGCCAAACACAGCCTGCTCTATCACCCTCCCCCTCCTTCACCCAGGGAGTAGGGGAGAGAATTGGAAGGAAAAGGGCAAGGAAACTCACGAGATGAGATAAAAACTATTTACTAATTAAAATAAAATGCTAATGATAACAACAGTGATAACAGACTATACAAATGAGTGATACACAGTGCAATTGCTCACCACCCACTGACTGATGCCCGACCCATGCCAGCCAGCGATCCCGGAGCCGAGACAGTCCTGAAACCCAAACCCTGGAAGAGCGAGCCCGAGCGATCCCCGAGAGAATACCCCGTTTTCCGGTCAGCCCTGGTTAATATCCTGACATGACGAGATATGATATGGAATATTTCATTGGCACATCCAAATGCCAGTTTGGGTTTTGCTGTTCACTGCGCTTCTCCCTCCCAGTCCTAATGCAGCTGTGAACCAGCCAAACACGGTGGCCTTGAGCTCCAGCAGCAACTAATAACATCAGTACTGTCATCAACATTCTTCTCATAACAAGTCTTACATTGAAACTAAAACACAGCTATTCTAACTACTAGGAAGAAAATTAACTCTATCCTAGCAAAACCAGGACAGTTTTGCAGTCACAATTTATTTTGAGTACACAAAAAACATTCCTTGTGAAGCTGACCAACACGAACTGTGCAAATCAATATCTCCTCTGGACCTTTAACCAACACCCTGCATATTTTTGTCCAGCTTTTAATGTATTGAAGTTAGAAAATGAAAGTATGTAAAAAGTGAGATGAACATTGCCCTCTGGTGACTGTCATTATTATGTACATGCAAACCCTTCATATAAAATGAGATCTTATTGTTAAGCTAATGTTATTTTATTTCAAGTCTTGAGTTTTACTTCTGAAGCTTTACTAATTTATCAGAAAGGCTTCTAATTATTTTGCTGTTAGAAAGCCCAAATTTCAAGAAAGAATATATTAGACTGAAACTGCAAATCAAACATACTGAAAATAAAATGCCAAAATATGATGTCACGGATATTTTTATCTAGCATGACTTATCTGAGCTATAAGCTTAGTCAGAGTAGTGTCAAGGATCTGTCCCCTATGATCTTAAGAAATTCAAGTGGTGGGTTTTTTCCCCCAAAAGGTGCATGTAACAACTTTGTGGCCTGTCTGCTTACTTCACCACATGAATTTATTTATTAAATTCAAAGCTCAATAAAAGATTTATTTAAAAAAAAAGTCAAGAATTAACATTTACCATTCAATATGCCAAATACTCTCTCTGCGTATCCATTCAGAATGCCACTTACTCTTTGCTGTTTTATAAAACCATGCAAATCCCTATTCCTGAGAAGGAACAAGAGAGTAATTAGTCACTCATCTTTTTTCTTTTACTCCTTCTCTCCTGTATTTTCACGATCTTCAATTGTCCTGTCCAGCAGTATCATACCGTGCCAGCAGGCATGCCACACAGCTTATTTCAATAACAGAAGAACACATGCTTTATATCCTCCTCATTATGATACTTGGTCTACTCTGCATTCAGAATAAATCCAGCACTTCTAGGTAGTACCAGGTATGCTACGCATACAGTATTGCACAGTACAGGGATAAGTATCTCTCCACTTTCTATAGCATATGGCAGACAATGGCTTGCAATCCCTGAAAACATAATGAATACAGCTTACTCAAACTCTCTCTCTCTTCCTTAAGGCAATTAAAAAATAGGCTGTGAGCCAGACTGCCTTTTCTAACAGTGGCCTACTCCTGACTGCTACTTATTGGCACTGGTGTACATGTAACTGTAAGGCAGCAGAGACGTGGCCTTTTGGCCATGGCATATTATGTTACCTTTTTTGGAACTGTTTTGGTACCATATGTGCTAAGTCTTCTGTATAACACGAACAGATACCTGCATTCAAGCAGTGTTCACAGATCTCTGTTGAGCCGATACATTTATACCAACCTCATTTTATTACTAAGCAAACACCCACATCTAAACAACTCTTAAGAAAACGAGCAGCTGGGTTAAAGATGTGCATCCACGGGGAAAGTCATTACTTTTCTGCCTGTCCGACTTCCTGTACCGGTTCACCACAGGAGCCGGTGAGGACCATGGCCAGTATCAGGGAAAGGTAAGCACATGAGAGTGGTGGCAAAAAAAATCCTGTAGCAAACTGCACTGAGTCTAAGAAATGTCATGGAGATTTTCAACGCTCAACTGGAAAATAATGTGAGCAATCTGAGATAACCCTGCTTTGAGCAAAAGGCTGGACTGGATGACTTTCTAAGGTACTTCCAAAGTAAATTCTTCAGTGATTCTGAAAAGAAAAAACAAACCAACAAAACCTCCCAAACCACTATGAATGTTGTTTCATGACCCTTTTGCTATCTGGAGCTGGCAACATCAGATCAGTTACCTATCAAAAATCAATTTTAAAATGGTGCTCATATGTCATGCTGTAACTGCCATTTTTAGCAGAACAGCCAGGAGGATGAGGATTGGAGAACTATTATTTCAGAATTCTTAATTGCACTGGTTTCAGGAAAAGCATAAAATCCTAATCTCTGTAGCTGAATATTTTTAGCCCTTAAAATGGTTATCCTTCTTCCTCCCATTTCATTTTGTCTGGATCCTACCTGAACACGAAACCAATGAGCAGCAACAGTCACTATGTTCCATCAAGACTATGCTTTGCTCCTTAAAAGCACATTATATTTAGTGTCAGAAAAGACAGTTGCCAGTAAAAGTGTTCTAATAAAAGTAAACTTAGTCCTTTTCAATGCAAATTTAATGCTTTTTTTTTTTTTTTAATTCTTACTTCCACACCCAGTACTTCCAAAGGAAGTTAAAGATTAACAATTGTTATTTGACATGGCCTTGAGAAAGTAAAGGTCTATATACCCAAAATCTCAAACTGGATCATCAGTTTAACTACACTGCCATGGGATTATCCTGATACCTTTAATACAATGGAGCCATTTATCTTACCATAGACAAACAAATCATGTTTGTTCTCCCTGCTTTAAAACATTTTATAGAACCCACCATGTTGCATGAAAAGGGTGGTAAAGCAACTTGGCAGGAAATAAACCCCCTTGCATTCCAGCGTACCCTCAGATATTAGAGGAGCTGAGGGCAGCTGGGCTTAGATCCTGGCTGATGCCCAGTTCAGCACTATGAGTCCGACAACAGCGGATTCACTTGATAGTGTGCTGCACTCCTGCACCCACGATTTATGGACTCCCACAGCTAAACCTGCAGAAATGAGCGGTGTCCCAGTTGCATTCTTCCCTGGGATCTTCTTTGACATTATACCTTTCCTTAATGTGTGATCAATGCTGGTTTTTGATTTCTAAGTTACCTCCAGTAATTATTCCACACACTGCAGTCACCAGTCTGCTTTTAGTGTGCTCATACTGACACAAAGTATGTATTCAGAATATATTAGTAATTTCCATCAATAAAATGCAATCTTTCAAGTCCCATGTTATATAGTATATACCCTCTTAAAATTTGAATTGTCATGGTACATTTATTATCTCAATTTCCCTTTAAAGTTTTTAAAGAATAAAACAATTACTCGCAGTGATCTAGCTTATTACCAAAATATTCCCTATTTGCAATACAATGTACAAGTTGCTGCCTTTTTCCATATTGTTGTTTAACTCTGCAAACTTAGAAAATCATACTGGTTATTACAAGGGGAAGACTGAACAACAATTTAGCTTTTTGATTTTCTTCTGTTTCTTGTTTGAAATATTTTTTTACTTGCAAATTCCATTTGCCTGTAAACCATTTGCCAACCTGTCAAGGCTTCTTCTCTGTACTGCCTGTCCTGAATAATAGACTGTGAAGCAAAAGAATGTTGGGGGAAAAAAAATAAATTCATAATGATTTTTGCTCAAACATCACTGAAGCTGGGAGAAAAGGAGAAAACAGAGCAATTTCCCTGCAGTGTCAAGTTGCTAAGTACCCATAATCACTCCAATAATCTTTGTCACAATGTGACAAACACTATGTTCCTATCCTACTGTGTGATTTTTTTTTTCTGTCTCTGACAGAATGACAGCAGGTAGTAACTGTGCTACGCAAATGTCAGCCTACATACAATATTGCTCACAAAGCTTAGTTATGAATATTAAAAAGCAAAAGTAAGAAAAGGAGTAGATTTTCATATTATACGTCTATATTTAGGTGATTATTATGTCCTTCATAATCGTCAAAGAATTTCAGAAACTGTACAGAAACTGAGAAATAAGGAGAAGCTTCTGAAGTCCTTTCCTAGCAACTGTTACTGCTAAGGCACACTCTGTTCTTTTAGCAAAGCAGCTTCCCCTAGAACAATCAGAAAATGCAAACAGACATTTTCTTGAATTAGAACAATATCTGACTCTGATACAACAGGAAAATCAACAACTGACCTTTCTCAAAAGCAATTTAATCCAGATCCATTGCATTCCAGTACCAAAACCCAGCTTTGCTAGGTGGGTGGGGAATGGGAATGAGAGGACCTAAACACACTGTCTGAAAAAGAAGGCAACAAAAGCAGGGAAGGAAGAAAAGGGAGCAGCATCACAGATATGCTCTCTATAGCTTCTGTTAAAGCAGAAAGCACTACAATTGTCTTTCAGACTCGGACTCTTAGAACACACCCTTATCATAAAGCTGAAAAGCAGACAGAGCTCAGCACCATGGCAACATCCACTTGCTTAATTATCAGCCGAGAAAGCTTCCAACAAGAACACTGGAAAAACGTTTCACAAAAAACGTTTCCTTGACTTTTCCATAGTAAGGAAAACAATCAGGAAGGCACCAGCGAAGGGACAGACACACAAAGAAAACCAACATACTCATTCAGCATCACGAAGTTTCAACAGATGTACACTGGTTTCATACACACAAATTCTCATGGCAAAAACATCACTGGTAAAGAAGTTAATTAACATACCTTTCAGTCGATGACTTAGAATCTGTTCCAGAATGGCTGCAAAATTATTAAATTCAGGGGAAGTATCATCTATAGTCTCAAAACAAGAACGGTCAATCAGAGTCTTGACTGAAAACCTAGAGCAAAAGTACAGGACAATCATAAATTTTATGAATAGCTATTGGTCCTCTATAGCAAGACAGCAGTAAAACCACCTTGGTAATTTCAAGTTCAGTCAGAGCAACACAAACACATACTACATCAAGAAATAGCCTGGAAATACAATAATCATTGTTGGTCTTACACGTAAAGCCTTAAAAACAAAAAGGAAACAAAAATCCTCACACTTTCTACATAGAAGTGAGCTAATTTTCTAATTATTTTCCTTTTCTCTAAACTATTTTCATAAAGCTGTAGGAAAACAAGAACTTAAAAGCTTACAACATCAATTTATCTTCACAATCCTAAGTATCATGATTTTTGCTTGACATTTTGTCAATGTTCCTTTTACTGCCAAGATCCATGCCCAAGAATCAGGAGTATAAACTTTATTCTGAGAACACTGTAATTTCATCCTAATGCAAGAATAATCCAAATATATTATAAAACACTGAATTTTTATGCATGTTAACCCTATGCATTAATTTGGACAGGCTGATTTCCTTGCGAATGGGAGTAATCCCTATTCAGCACCATATTACTTCATTATTATGCCAGAAAAGCTATCAATTTAAATGATCTAACATTTGAAATTGCAAAGGCTGAATCAAGCCCCTGTAAAAAGCAGACAAGATGTAACTAGCCAATTAGCCAGTTAGCTGTGTTTAGTTACACCTGCACTTACACAATTTCATTCTTATTTGGAAGATGATAGTTTAAACCTCAGGGAACAACACAAAAATTGATTTTTCTCTTGCCTTCACCATTTTAATCAAATCAGTTTTTATTTTCCTTTCTGCTCCCTGTTCTTCAGTTTTCAGTTTCAAGGCAAGTTTGATATGTCCTCAACTTTCAAAGAAATACTTATTTTGAAGCACTTTGTGTTTTTTTTTCAACAATCTTTTTTTATATTAATGGAGTCATACTAGAGCCTGAGGTGATAGTTTTCACAACACCCAAACTTCAGCAGTACAAGCTTAGGAAGTTCTCACTGCCTACTCATCCCTGACCTATACCTGAGCACACTGCTCCCTCAGTTGTGCCAGTTCTACTTTTTATGGGGCTCCCTATGAACTGATCCAGACCTTCAGTACTTGAGAGCAGGAGTGGAGTGACTCTTAAATACGGATACATTCATAATAAATATGTTTCACAGCATCTCAACACAAACAGTTCTACAGCACAGCTGCAGAAGCAGCATACCATATAGGCAAGGGCAGGAATGAGACTCCTTAAACCAACAGTACACTTTTCAAATGCTCTATACTGTAAAATTAACTTAATTACATCCTTAGTGAAGCCAGCATAGCCTCCAGATGCTCATTTACCAAAAGAAACTAACTATGCTCAAACTGAATTGACATATATATTTCAAGAGTTTCAACTCAATTATGTTATTCTAAGTAAACTTCTGAATAAAGACTCCCTATCCTACCTTTCCTGCAGGCTTCTATTGTTGTAGTGGTTTTGACCACTACAGGAATTAGGAGTGAGAAGGGTGGAGGAGGAAGCTTCTTCTGCAGTGCCAAGTTATGACTCAGTTTTGAACTCCACATTTTTAACCAACTCTGAGTAAGGGAGAGACAGGTATGCCCACCAGTAAATGTCCACCTAGTCATTATCATTGCTATTGACTGGTCTAATGGCAGTAATGACTGTTTCCTCAAAGCTATACCAGAGCTGTGAAATTATCTATAAAAATCTTCTTAATTTTTAAAAACAAATGCATATAGAAATGCCTTGACTAAATTGGTGTTAATTGTAACAAGAAGACTCCTTCCACACCATGCAGCTCTGAAAAAGAAAAGGTGCGGCACGTCACTCACTCACAGATACATACACAAGAGAGACAGCGAGTTAGCAGTGTAATGTACTGAACTATATATAGGAACATCATCTTAAACTCAGAGACACAATCACGGCATGATCATCCATAAACTGCAAAACAAAGTCATGTATGTAACTATGTATACACATATGTAACTATATGTAACTATGCCTATTTTTCCTCTATTCAGTGTCCTACATAAAAGTTCACTAACTATAAGTTAATAATGTATGGGATACATATTCAGAAATTGATATATATTCAAGAAAAAACAAGAGCATTTCACATACATTTCTAAAAATCACAGATGAGTAATTTCTTTTATAAAAAAAAAATTTAAAGCACTCTGCAACTCAATTGAAGAAAAAAAGTATATTAGTTTTTAAGGCTACAACAACTTTTAAATACCTAGGATCTGATTAGACAGTCTAACAGCTCATGATTGTTAATGGTGGTCTTTTTAAGTGCCACCATGCTCTCCAATGAAATATTAATTTCCATCTCTCTACACTTTGACTAAAAAACTAAACAACCTTTATAACTATGTCAAGTTTGTGTGAAATTGGCTTTTAGGAGAACTGAAAGGGAGTGCAAGTATGTACACCTTATTTCCATAAACCAGGAAAGCAACAGTGCTATCAGGCAAAATTTCATTGACCAGAAATATTTTTTTGGATATTTAAAAAAGTCCTTAGGCAAATACTCCTGTGTTGTTGTGTTTTGTTTTGGTTTTTTCTTTTTTTTTTTCTTCAGTCCTACAGAGAAGCAAATGTACCTCTAAGTGTAAGTTAAAAGTCACAAACACATTTTGCATGATATTCACACTTCAGCATGCTTACCACGCAGATTGGAAAAAGGATTTAAGGTATGCAGAAGTGATGCCTTTGAAAAAAGGTTACACTGTAAGCACTGGGTATGCAATTTTACCCATTCATGAAAGATACCTCATATGTTGTTTCCAGTGTACGGCCCCCCAGAAAAGAAAGCCCATGCTCTTGCACAGTTGTGTGGAACTACATGGGGACTGAAAGTCAAGAAAGGAAAGGCCAGATTTAAAGAACACAAGAGCTATGAAGAACATATGTCCAAGTAGGTGGAGTTAGAGCAGCTTTCTTACTTCCCTTTGTTGCCCCCAACTTCATTTTCTCTCCACTGGGCTGCTACAGCAGCATTGCACTTTAGAGCAACAGTCTACCTACACTTCAGAATTTAACAGAGAAACTGTTAACAAAAGGGCATGAGAAAGTAAAACGGCTCGAAAATAAACTTAAAATTTTCTAAGATGAAGTTTTTGGTGGACTGTAGGAGCACAGGAATAATATAGCTCCAATACCTGTTACTTCAAGACTCTCTAAAAAAATTAAAGTCTTTTATCCAATCATTTGCCATTGTGGCACCGCAAAAACAAGGTGGTTTTGCTGTTTTGTTTTTTCATACAGTAACTGCAACTGGAGAGATTCCAGTAACAGTGTTTCTAAACAACCTTCATGAACTCTGATGTTCAGATTCTTACATACTCTTCTCCATCTAGACTCGAATCTAGAATGCTCCATGAATCTAGACTTGCTTGAGCCAAAAAAAGATGTAGAAACAACAGCAATCTCCAACCTTAAAAAGACCTTCTGAATTATGTAAGAGGGAAATATTCTTGTATAAGAAAGATTTATAGCAATCTTTTTGGGGTAGGTTCTCCCACGGTTTTGCAAGATGGACAAGAAGGTCACCCAAATCTTTTTAATAACTCCAAACCAAAGACAAAACTTTTATGGATATACCCCAGGTCTACAGGCTTATTTCCAAAACAGCAACGAGCCTCTAGTCAAAAAGCAAATAGGGAGAAAATTTCACTGCTATATACGAATTTGTCACTTTTCATTGTCAGATTTTGCTCCTCTCAGTTTTCATATGAATGGAAGGATTCTGTCACATTTATTTAGCTTGCAATTTGGGAAATGTCATTAAAATGCTATTTTAAAGAACTTTAACTATTAACACAGAATAATCCCCAAGATTATAATCTAATATCTCTTATGCTGGAGAACACAGCTTGGACATGAAACCAGACAGTTCAGCTAAGGGTCAACATCACTGCAACAGCTCTTACACATATTAGCAAAACCACTATTTTAAAAATACATTTCCTGACCATTGTTCAGTTCTGTGTTAACATTCTGTATTTAAACTATGACCCTCACTTCCAGGGGCTATCTCTATTTTTTTGGTGGTTCTGTATCTATATGGATCTTTCATTTACGAACCTTAGGGAAGACTAGATTAAAAGGTAAACAACCTAGAATAACCTCAAAATCCCAACACCACTTATTAGAAAATGGACAGCATCAAACTTTAGGGAAAAAAGGTAGGGAGAGAGACAGAGCTCAGAACATGTATTACTTATTCAAACAAAAACCTCTAAAAATTATTGCAATTTAAATAACAGCTGTGCAGTTACACAAACATGACCATGTACTTTCACATGCAATTGGTTTATGGAACTTAAGCAACTACATTACTTCCCATGACTACAGTTCCACTTAACATTTTAGAGGGAACAAACTGTTCCCAAGCTGTAAATCTAAGAAACTATCCACATCTGCATGAGGGTTTAGATATCATCACTGCAAGAAAAGACTAAAAAGCCAAAGCCTAGTTTAACTGTTAAGTAAAAATCTGCTGAACTGAAGCTTTGATAAAAATAGTTCATTAAATTGTCAGAGACTGTTAACAGATGGGTAATTTAGAAGATCTTCCTTGTGATCTCTCACCTTCACTGGATAGTAAGCCGTATCACCCAAATTTAATTTAATCAATTCATTTGAGCTATTTTTACCAGAAATAGTTCACATTCTCATAGGATTTTGATTGGAAAGGATTATTACCTGACTGGGTTTGATACTAATTTGGCTATTCCAAATAAATAACACATTTCAATAATAGAAAATGTGTAATAACTATATTAAAGCACAGAAATATTTTAAACACATACTCTTACACTGGCAGAAGAATAAAACATAAATAAATGTATACACATCATAATAATGCAAATCCTTTTTCCTCATCATCCTTTCCAAATTTTAAGGTGTATTCGCAAACTAGGAACTTCAGCTTTTGTGAAGATACAGCAAAATTAAATTGTTTTACTGAAAATAATTAAAACATGCCAATTTCAAGTAGTTTCTGTACTTTGTTTCATATGTGTTTGGCTGAATCCCCTCAGATTTCTAAGCACCTTCAAATATGTCACAACATCATCTCAACTGCAGGACAAGGACATGCAATAAAACCAAAAAATAAAATGTAACTGCACAGAGTTCAGAAAGGTTTCTCTCAAATGAGAAGGCAGAAAAAAATAGCAAGCTCTGTAGAGTACAATATACTGCTTTGAAAAGAACTGTTTATATCCTGTACAATTATGTCACTACTAGATAAAGCTGCTGTTTTCCCAAGCCTGCAGGTTGGCAATATCTGTAGCTCTGTAATAATTGTGAAACTGCAAACTTCTGCTTCTTCTATTTGCTCTGCTTCAGCAAGTTTGATAAAAACCTTATTTTTAAGTGGTTTTGTTACATATCTTTTTTCACAGGGAAGAGTAGCAGGGAATGCCACTTTTTCACAGGTAAGCATAAAAGACTGAGAAAAGACAGAATAGTATCGATGCTACTATGAAGCCCAGATGCTAGTACTTAAAGGAATACTGAAGCAAAATCCTTTCAGTAGCTGAACTGAAGCTTACACTTTGTAAAACCCATTAACAGCATACAATAAAAACAAACCAAAAAAAAGGGAAGAATATGGGGGTCCTAAATTGTTTTCAAAAATACTGCTGCAGCATTAAATGGTGAGGATAGAAAATTATCTAACACTCATTCTGGTACTTTATTAATTTTTTTTGAAAATTACAATTATATCATAGTTCATATAAATCTGATTAAACCTTCTCCAGATAATATTCAAATTAGTTTAATAACTTTAAAGTTATTAAGTTTATTGTTTAATAAATTTAACAATTGAAACAAATGAACTAACAGAGTCATTGCTACCAGCAAAGTTTGCCATGATGTAATGGGTCAGCACTGCACACCTGGAAACGCTGCATGAATTCAACAGTGACAGCAGTGCAAATGCTCCCAGGGAAAGCCACAGATGTACTATTGAGCTGGTATAAACTCAGCATTAAGATGTTAAAAAAATAAATTAAAAAATGACTACAGCCTGTACTGCGGATCTCCCGATCTAGATTTTGGAGATAAAAATATCCCCTGAGCGCATCCTCCTCGGGACCGCTCCTGCGGCACCAGTGCCTTATGAAGAACCAACGACACACGGTTAAGCCGCTTCCACAGCGGCGCGGAAGAACGGTTGTAGGTTTCACTCCCCGTCCAACACAGCTTAACTCAATTTCAAAAGCGGCCGTACCGCGTCAATTGAAGGAAACTGACCCAACACCAGTTCTGCTGGCGCCAAGGAGAAAATCTCAGTTCAGCACGGCTGGGAGTCCAGCCGGCCCCGCCTCGCTCCGCCACACGCCTTTCGCCCGGGAACGCAACCACGGTGCCGAAAACAAACCTCTGCCTCGCCCCCCGAAAGCCCCGATGCACCGGCGCGCCCGGCGGCGCTGCCAGGTGTGCCCC